TGAAAAATCTTTCTCCGTGCGAGATTCCGAATGTGCCGTTCTTCTCTCTCTCTCTCTCTTCGAAAAAGACGGAAGAACGACTAGCGTTAGAAGATAAGAAAAAAAAAATCCCCCGTCAGAAGACAACATTTCTCTCTCTCCGTACCGGCTGATAGGGTTGTTGAAGAAGCCGTGGAGAGTATAATTTGCATAAAATAAATAAGCGACAATGGGAGAGGCTACATCACGCGATACCGGAATTTCTTTTTCACACGCGCGCGGTTTAACGGTTGACACGACGCGAGACGCACGTGCACGGCGAGCAACGTACTCCTGGCTAATTTATTAGAAAGCCGATAATTGCGCTGGTTAACAGGCTGTTTGCGCCGAACATCTGGGAGCGCGTCGCTATCGGGCTTGAAATTAACGCGCCCGCCCGAGTGGAAGTGATAACACGCGAGCGTCCCGGCGAAAGAACTCTCGGCGGCGCGCATAATTAAAGGACGATCGACGACGACCGGCAATGACGACAATTTTATCGCTTATTATATCGGCTCGTACGTGAGGCAGATGTCGAAACTACGATAGACTCTCGCCGCGGCGCTCGCGCTCGCGCGTCGCGATAGTGCAATCTCCGCCGTGCATAAATAAACACTCGAGCTCGCGTTTTCCACGCGCGCAGCAAACGAAGAGAAAAATTAATCGCGTGAACGCAACTCCCAGGCTTTTCCCTTTCGTGCAGGTGTGGAGGAGAGAAAGTGAGACCGCCGGGGAACGATTGTGGAATTATTTGCGATTCCGATCGGAAAACGCGAGAGTTCTCGGCTTCGCTCCGGACTTTCAGTCACGATTCCCGACCTTTGTTTTTCGAACATTTTTTGCGCACTGCGCGGTAAGAGGTTACGATAAGTGGTTCTGGATCCGTTGTTTTCCCGAACGGGATCAACTTGCCTCCGTATTCGCGCGGTATCGAAACTTTTTCAATCATTTTGCTATACGTTGTTCACGTATAGCGCCACTGATAATACGCGAAATCGTTCCAAATAATTCCATGTTTAGCTTCCCCGATCATTAACCCGCGTTCATATTTATGGATTTTTATATCTTCGTGTCTCGTTATTTATTTGTTTGAAATATAAACCAACACCTATAAATATTGTGTTACATAAATATGTATTAGTATTAGTAATACTTATTAACGTGTATTTAAATTAATATATAAATTTATTATATTTTTTTGCTCAAAATATAACGATGTTTATCATTCTCTGAAAATGTTCAAGTTCTCCCAAATATTGCGTTTTTTTTGCATACTTTACATTTTGTCATACGCGATAATAATTAACAATTAATTGTATAATTTTATTTATTTACAGGATGTCAATATATTAACCCCTTGCCGTGCTTTAACGAGTCTGACTCGTGATGAAAATTTTGGCCCAAACATGAATATGACGAGCCAGGCTCGTGAATAGATCGTCGGGCCAAACGTAAACATCACGAGCCGAGGTCGTGTACAGATAGTCGGATCAAACATAAACATCACGGAGCCTGGGTCGTGATTGAATGTTAGTTTCTATCAGTACGCCACCAGAGTTAGTCACGAGTCTCATAATTGCTGTTACAAAGTAGTTTATATTATTATATTGAAATTTAATAATAAACCCTTACAAAATGCAAAATAAAAGAGGTTTAAGTGAAACTGTTATCGATTACAAAATATAATATAGTATAATAATTATAATGTAATGAATCGATTACAAATAAATAAAAAATATAAAAGGTATTAGAGTTTATTTCCACAACAGCAGTATCGTGCAAAAGTGTCTATATCAGAGGCATTTACATTTCGGCTCGTATTGTGACCTTTTTCGCGCATCAGTCTGATCTGTTTACCACGCGTTGACGCGTAACACTTGGGCCCGAGTTTCGTCGAGCTAAATGGCACGGCAAGGGGTTAATGTGATTAGAACACAGGTTTATTCAGTTCTTAAGATTCTTGTTAGATTTTCATTTCGTTGAACTTGCCCTTGAAAGTTAGAACAACATCGTTTGATAAAGTTAGCGCGGCTGGCGACTAATTACAAACAACATTCGCATGAAAATTAAAATTCCGCCAAATATGTCAAAGGTTATCGGAATTGTTTTCCCTCTGTCTCTTTTTTTAGCCATGAGTCCGTTTAATGGGCGATAAACGTGAACAACGGAAAGCAGCGTGTTTCGTCGGCGGTAATTTTTCTACGAGTGTGTGTCGTAAATAATACAATTTAACGGCTGCGACAATCGATAATGCAACAATACGTTCGATGTCATCACGCCGCTTATCTTGTACGTGCATGTTCTTACGTGTGTAATATAAAATCCGTGTTAATTTATGACTCGTTATCCTTGCAACGCAAATAGACCGAAGGACTAATTGACGATTCTATCCATTTATTTTTTTCACGATAACCCCACGAGACCCGTGCGTATAAGTAACTCCGTCGTAATTCTCTCTCTCAAGTTATTATTGACGACTTTTTTTTGTCTAAACAATACGCAGCTTAGAACAGATAACACGGCATAATAATAAAATTCCGCCGCGGGCCATCTTGAAGTCCGTTACAAAAACACCGGCGGAACTGAAATACACAACTTCATTACGGCGAAGTGAAATTAGTCTCGCAAGTCACGTCGGTCGAGAGAATGGAAACAAGCACGGGCGATGCCATTTTTTTTTCATAAATAACGCGTATTTTACAGTAACACGCGAGCGCAACAGGTCTCTTTTTGCGAACGAGAAGAAGTTTGACGCGTGAAAATTTTTCATTGTCGTGCGATCGGTGTCACGCGAGACTAACTCGATCGAGAGCGGAGAAATAAAGGCTGGGAACAAATTTCGCGCGCTGTCTCCCCCCTCTCTCTCTCTCTCTCTCTCGACTGGAGCGAAAGCGAGAGTCTAAAGCATTGCAAGCGCGATAATCGTTGCATCTCGCTTTCCTCACGGTGCGGTTCTCCGTCATCGGCGGTTGAGCAATAATCGAGTTGAAAACGAGTATTTTGTCACGTGCAGCGATTCGTAATACGCGGTCAACACCGAGGATTTATCCAGCTATGTCATTTTCACGAGGCGACGCAACGAGGGCGACACGTTGCCATCCGAGTGGCGCGCGCACGTGCATCTAAAAGTCATTATTCTCAGCTTATCGCCGCTTCACAGGTGCGTGAATCAATCCGGCGCGCATCGTTATCCGAATCGCAATCTGAATTGACCACGGACCCATGTCAATAATGCGGCAACATGCGCCGCGCATCAGCGATGCATAGCGTGCATTGTTCGGCGCGGCCGGGGCGCGATTTGCATTCTTATCTCTAGGCGACGTCCAACGCCTTTGGCGAAAACCGCGTCGGAATATCTTACGAAAAAATAAATCCGTAGCGCAATCCTTATCTTATTATTCCGGGAAGTCCGTCGCGTTGTTATTTTTACGACTGTGTGGTCACTTTTGGATTTTTCCTCGTCGCTTCGGGAAGCGTTCGCAGGTATTTTTCGACGATTTCGCGCTAATTTCCGGGAGTTCAATCTCTCGGATTCCATGGCGTCGAAATTATGACGTCAAAACGAGAAAATATGTTGCTCCAAATACATTGAAATAAAACGATATGTTTATAAAATGACACATGCGTCGATCGAGCAGATTTCTAAATTGGTCCGGGAATCCTCCCCCCCCCCCCTGACAATCAATAAGCAGTGATCAAATTAACATGAAAGAATCATTCAGTCACAAGATATTTATTAATTGTTCGAGAAGAAGAATACGTTTTTTTCAAGTATTTTACAAATCCGCACATGTTACATATTCGTTTATTCCAACATACGCATTTCGCGAGAATTTTGAGCGCGTATTTTCTCGCTACTGATGTCATCAATCAAGATGGTCATGGCGAAAGAACAAGAACCTTAATCACATTTTAATGTATTTGTTTTTACGAATGTTTTGAATGCGATCGCAGATTATCGTGTCGTTCATTTGGACTATCTCGATTGCTCCCACTTGAATTTATATCTCGTTTATTCTTACACACATACACACGCTCACTCACTCACACCGATCTCCGGTTGCGCGTATGCACATGCGAAGCCTTTCGAATTAACCGCGATAGAGGCGGAGAGTTCGATCGCCTCGTCGGTGCGTTTCGTGTTCCTAGAAGCATTCGTTCATCGTAGCCTCGGCGGTTTCGTCACAAAATCGACGATCGGTGATTCGCTCTTCCTACTGCGTGCGTTGCATTATCGCACGCGACGTAAAGCGAAACGATTCGCAATGGCGGACAAAAGTAACTCAATATCGACACACATTTCACGGTGGCACCCGTCGCGCTAATTAGCCGGCAATTTACTTGAATAAACGCGACACCCACTGCGGTCACATGAGACCGCGTTGGCGGACTACAACACGACACTTGGATGTGGTAGTGCCCTAAATGTGCTTAGAACTCTAGCTGGACTGAGGGGGGTCAGAAGCAAAAGGGGACGTTAGAATCATTCGGCTCCCGCGGATAGCGTATATATTGTTCTTATTTTTCGAGAAAGGGAATAGACGGGAAGGATCTCCGGATTCATCGGAATTCAGTAGATACCACATGTACGCGTGTGCTTTTTGTTTCCGTCGAGAAAATTACCATTCCGCTCACGTGTATACTTTAATGTCGTGCGCCATTTCGCACTTAGAAACGACGTGGCATCGATTGGAATCTCATTAGCATCGATCATAGACTTTACACGCGTGGACTGCGCCTTTCTATGAGAGGTTTGAGGGCAAAATTGAACAGGAGAGGCTCTCCTCGAGCTGGGCTAAGGCCGAATGCGGTAACAGTACATCCTTATCTAATCAAGTCGTTATTAGTAGACAAGTTTTGCTTCTTACCCCCTCGATTAGAGAGTTTAGCGATATTCACTATACACAACGTATACGTGCGTCGTTGTCGAGAGAGCACGACCGGTGACCGCGTTAATCGCTGATTCACGCTCGCTTTCGCAGGTACTGTCTATGAGCGAGGAGTTCAGGCGAGCTCTCTACGCGAACAGTGCCGTCTCCTTGGACAACGACGTCATTGTGCCGGACCTCATAGGCACGACGGAGATACTCGGCGACGAACACAGGGAACAGCTGTGCCGTCACCTACCCGCCAGGGCGGAGGGTTACCAGTGGACCCTCGTCTTCAGCACCAGCCAGCACGGCTTCAGTCTCAACAGCATGTATCGGAAGATGGCGAAGATCGAGAGCCCGATCCTGTTAGTCATTGAAGACACCGAGGGCAACGTAAGTCTTTCTCGCTTGCGCACGTGAGAAAACGCCTCAGTTCGTGTAATTTAATACGGACGAAAGTTCAATTAATTCGGCGGCGAGAAAGTCTGTTAGCAAGACCGGAAATATTCGTCTGGACGTTCAGCTGAATTAACCCGGGAATACTAACCTTCACTCCGGGCCTCAACCCTACGTCCCGGAAACTTTTTTGTAGTGGCTAAAAAAAAGGCTTGGAAACTTTTTAACATATATGTATATTTTCTTTTTTTTTTTCATATCATTACATATAAGCCTCTTTTTATTCAGAGACGTTTAATAATAAACACCGAACATGGGCCAAACTCTTCGATCTTGACCCGTGCGCCGCTCTTTCGTTTGTAACTTCGTTAAATCATCGAATATCGATAAGATGCTTCGAAAATATATATTTACAAAACTTCAAACATGAAGAATATGTAAGGAAAGAAAAATCGATATTTTTCGACCTTTCGAATGACAGAATAAAAGCTCCGTTAAAAGCTCCCGGCCGAGATAACTGAGGGGACCCCCTTTCTCGTCGCTGAGTTTTCGCGCTCAGCCACCGCGAACCGAGATATCTTCGTCCCGCCGTCAGCGTCCTCGGAGGAGCGTTTATCTGGAGCAGACGCGTTCTTTCCTCCGTACTTGCACTTAGACCCGCGCAGTCCCCGTGAGTCACTCGGCCGTGCGTGTTACAGGTGTTCGGTGCGTTGACCTCGTGCTCGCTGCACGTGAGCGACCACTTTTACGGTACCGGCGAGTCCCTGCTCTTTAGGTTCACGCCGAGGTTCCAGTCGTTCAACTGGACCGGGGACAACCTGTACTTCATCAAGGGCAACAACGAGAGCCTGGCGATCGGCGCAGGAGAGTAAGTTTCTTTCGCCTCTCCCGTTTTCCCCCGAAAGCGGGGGAACGCCTTCTGCGAACTCCTCACGGTATCTCGTTCTCTTTTTTTCAGCGGCAAGTTCGGCCTGTGGTTGGACGGCGATCTGTATCAGGGCAGGACGCAGTCCTGCAGCACATACGGCAACGAGCCGTTGGCGCCGCGCGAAGACTTCGTCGTCAAGACGCTGGAATGCTGGGCCTTCATATAGGACACGGCCTCGTACCCCCAGCCCTCGCCCTCACCGCAGCCTAACTTGACCTGAACTCGCGAGCCTCGCGCAGGTTTCGCCCTCCCCCCTCCCCCCAGGAGAGATTAGAGGAAGACTAACGATTCTGAAAGACTTTGCCGGAGAGGACGAACGCCGCGATACACGATTATAACGCGATTGCCATCGGCGTTCGGGGAAGCATCCGGTGCTGTTAGGCGGACAGGCTGTGATTCTCCCGGGAAAACACGGAGAATCGTCAGTATCCACGCGCGGGGACAACGATGAGTAATGATGTTGGCTCGAGGCGATGGCGATGGTGAATCGCAGACGGCGATGCAGCCTCGAGAGGGATATATATGCGATCGGTAAGGAGACGAGCGAAAAACAGAAAAAGGAAAGACTATCGTTTAGTCCGAAGGTACGCGATATATCGGTAGCGGGGCTATTGAAAACTCGTGAGTAACGTGTGTCGCATAACTGTTGAGAGATCGATCACCTGGTTGATTTTGTCATTCGTTTTCAGCTCTTGTCTCTTTCATTTATTTTTTTAGTTGCCGTATTTATTTTACCCTTTTTTACATACATATATACATATATATATATATATATTCTGTTCGCGAACAGCTGCGTCGCTCGTCGATATTTGTTTTCTGATTTGATTTGCAAGTGCAATCGAGAGTCGAAGAGTTTATGATTACTTCGTACGATGATCGTTACTTCGAACTAGTCGTGAGTATATGACACATTTTAAGTGACTACTGCTACAACATCGATAAGAGGTAATTGCGAGAACGTTGATGTTGATGATCAATGACGAATGAGTAAAATAATGAAAATAATGATAGATATAATAATAATAATAACGATGATGATAATGATGATAAGTATGACGGTGATCGTGGAAGAATGATGAGTGTGTGAGTGTGAGAGTTTGAGGAAACGACGTGGGTGACAAAGTGTTAGGCGAGATCTAACGTTTCGGAAGGAAACTATTAACGATTCAACACGATGAAATGCTAAAAAAACTAACAGTTTGTTGATGTGTAGATAATGTAGATAGTAAATGTAAATATATATATACTATGATCGTGTTGCAATGATTAATTTTAACGGTAGAGAGAACTCTTTGCGGAACACTGTGTAGCTCGTCATGTATAATCTAAGGAGACGAACACGAGGATACACACACGACATATAACATATATACATACACATGAGGATTGTACACAGATAGGGAAGCGTGCTCTCGCGCGCGACCAGATGCGATGATCTATGATCTGATAAAAATACAGAATAAGTAGCTTTAGGGAAAGAGAGACGGAAAGGAAGAGAGTATAGGGAGAGAGAGAGAGAGAGAGAGAGAGAGAGAGAGAGAGAGAACGATCTCGTGCCGATATCCTACAATTAATGACGAGAAATAGAAGGAGAGATAAACGAAGAAATCTGTAAATCGGACGAGAGAGTCGACGATGCACGGAATTGCGGGATCGAGTCGGGAGCGTGTATTCGTGAATCTTGTCGTCAGTAAACTAGTAAATATGCTTTGAAGTCACGAGTGACCACAACGAACACACATGCCTGCTTCGCTCTCTTTGTCTCCCTCCGCCAAGTGTCAAAACGCGATGTCAAGCGTATATTTCGCGAGCGTGAACCCCCCAACTTCTCCCCCCTCTCCCCAACTGTACCAGCGTACGAGAAGAAATCCTCGATGTGTGATGGTCGATCGCGCACTAACAGTGGTAGCACGTCGAGTCCCCACACACGGAAGAGGACCCATCGAGATCGTCGCGTGAGAAGCACTCGTACCGATGCTCTTTTGAACCTAGTCCAACTTTGTACGGCCGTGTTATAAAACCGTGTTATACATGCAGCACACAATCACACACACATACTGTCCGAGCTTAATAATCCCTGACGCGCGATGGGCATCGCATGAGGAGAGCGCGCCGGGAGACGAGAAACCGAGAGCGCGACGTGGGGCGACTCCGCCGCGCGGAGAATTTTGTACGCGTACGGAAATGCGAACGGAGATGAAGAAAAGTGAAGACCCACGAAAGAGAGAGAGAGAGAAAGAGAGTGAGTGAGTGAGTGAGTGAGTGAGTGAGTCATCCTCTTTCTCCGTGATCGCGCGGGAAGAAGCGTCGTCGTCGGGCATCGGACGAACTTTTCTAGCTACGTTAAGCTGCACGCAGTCGTTCGAAGCACCACCCGGGACCTTTTGGCGCGTGACTCTCCGCCGACCTCTCGCCCCGTCGGCCTCGAAACGGATCACGTTTTATATATACCGCGTTATAGATCTAGATAACGACGCGTATCCTCTTCGCCCGCCCTTTTTCCGACAGTCCTTTTCTCCCGTTGTCGTCCTCTTCCTCCACACTACTCCTACGATTACTCTAGATACAATATTTGTACTCAGCGACGTACGCGTTGCCTCGTTTCTATACGATTTCGGATCTGCGATCTAATCTTAACGACGCGTCTCTCTTTCTCTCTGTCGGCCGGGCCCAACGGGTTCCGTCGGCAGAGAGACGCGCATATCACTATGCGACGACCAAGAGTGCTTATTATACTAACACGTGAGCACAATAAAACACACGCAGAAAACTTTGGATCTATATTTACCTGTTTCTCTCACTTCTCGAGTACGGTACATACATACACACGTACATACACATGCACGCGGCATTCGCGCTCTCTAAGTTTCTCGGAGCGGAGTCACGCTCAAAACGAGCGAGGAACGACGGTATCTTCGTTCGAAGCGGAAGCACCACCGCTCATAAATCGCGAGAGTGAGTGTTTCGCTCGAGTTTAGAGCAGATTCTTCATAATTTTGTTCGTTCTCGCTGAATTAGCGTGCAGAATTGTAGAAGCTAAAAAAGAAACAGATATACAGCTAAGACTCGGTGGAGGAGGAAAAGAGTACCAGTTAGTGCAGCCAGTTCAGCGAAAAAGAACAGACCTGATGATGTAAAGTGAGATGTGAGCAAATGTTTCGATTGATCGAAGTGAATATATTTCGGTGACGATGAAACACGTCGGATTTGCTTTTCGATTTCGAGTAAAACTATTCGCTCGACGATCCGTAGTGGAGCATTTATTCCCCACGTGAATGAAAAATCATTCGAATTCGAGTGACGTCGCTGGTCATTCCGTTTTCAGAGTGAAATTTCACTCGAAGAAATTTACAGAGTGCGCACATTCATTCTCTCCCGATGCGACCGCAGCATCGGGGAAACGTTCGAAAGACTGATGAGCGGCCGGTCCAAGAGATCCCTGAGGGGAGACTCAGGTGTTCGCGCACTGGTTACAAGACGCACTACATACGGGAAAGATAGAACAAAGGGAAACGCGTGGTCAAGGCCGCCGATTGGGCGATCGGACGGAGCATGGTGCGATACTCAATGAGGATTGGCCGTAGTTACGCAAGAATGATCCAACCCATAGAATCGTGATCTTTCTACATAAGACAAAGAAATCCAAGTCTTATAGCCGCCTGAAATGAATTAACAACAGTCTTTACTTTCCCTTAGTTGTGCCATTCTTTTATTAACTGCGTTCGTTTCATCCATTCTGTTAAGGATTAACGCTCGTCAATGAATACGCTTAAAGAAAAGGAAAATGAAGCGTATTTGGCCTCTTGAATAATTGTGAGGAACTTCGGCGCTATTTGTACTATTTAAATCGTGTACTAAATTTTCATCCTCATTTCTCTCGGAACCGTGCGGGTTAAATCTTTCTCGCACGACTATGGCCAATTTTGATCTGGGACCGAAGGTGTGTCGTCGTTCCAGCAGGCTCGGGCTTGTCCGTGCTGCAAGCGCGAAGAGATCCGGAGGGCCTCGCGACGGAATTGTCGCGGTTTCAGGATCACGACGAATCGCGCACTTGCAGCGTCGCGAGTTCGGTCGGCTCCGCCGGAAAGAAGCCGGTCCGCCGACACCGGATATACCTTCTCGACGAAGCGCAAACGTGATGTCAATGTCGACGTGGTATAGGCAGGCACCCACCGGCTTATTAGGACTTAGTAGTCTCGAGAACCTGTACACCCACTTAAAAGCGCAGAAAACACACGATAACGTTGCATACGATTAGCGTTGCATAGAGGTCGTAAATTAGAATCTAGGCGTAATCATGTGATATTAAGTAACGCGAGAGAGAGAGAGAGAGAGAGAGCGAGGCGTTGCGCTCGTAGATGATTTGTCGAGTCGCTTCGATGGGATACCACACGATTGCACGCGCAACGTCGTATAACGTTCATACCACACACACACACACGCACTTACACACACATGTATACACGTGCATACCTCGAGAGAGAGAGAAAGAGAGAGAGAGAGAGGTCCCTCCTCTTCCGTTTCTTCGAAGCGTGCATTTGATAACCGGAACGCGGCTCGAGGGATGTACCCGGGGTACAGTCTATCGTCGGGTTCGAAAGCGCGGTCAGGGCGAACGCTGAAATTATATCATTGACGTACGCGAAAGCGAGAAAACGAAGCTATGTGCATCCGACGGTGCAGGTGGTAACGATAAGCCGAACGAGAAGTTTGTAAAGGAAAAAAAGGGGAGAAAGAGAAGGACAAAATAATGAAAAGAAAAAGAAAAAGGAAATATACTCATGACCCTCGCCTTAATGTCAAGAATCAAGATGTCGATGTACATTGTAACGAAAAAAAAAGAAAAAAAAATAAAAGATCAAGTATGTCTGGGAAAACGAAAACTTTTCGTTCATTACTCTTCCGCGTTTGCTTCCGCCGTTCGCGCATCCACGCGTGCGTATGTGTGTGTGTATACACGTGCGTCTCGTCCTCGCTTATCGCACCGTTGCGATTTGTCGCAAGCGAAACCGGTTCATGTATTGTAACACACACACACACACACACACACACATTATGTATGTTGTAACAGAGACCCCTCCGGTTGGCGTTTCCGGTGAGTTCGATCAATTTATCGTGCGGATTTCAAGCGCGGTATCGAATTCCTCACGAGCGCCGAGGAGGAGGAGCGCGCGCGATGAGAGAGGACATTTGTAGGTTTCACTTGACACGTTCCAGGATACCAGATAATGTTCGACAATCGATAGCTCTGTCCTGCGCGCGTGCGACCGTGTGCCGTTGGCCTCGCACGTGCACGCGAGCGAGCGACGTTACCGGATACGTCAATGCGAGCGAGATGCCCTTCGCTGTCATCCGAGCGTAGTTTGCTTCTCTTCTTCCGCGAAGCGTCTTCTGTATCAAACCTAGGAATACGCGAGATATGTAGAGTCAAGGAAGAAGTACACCTCCGCAAACGTAGACTAAGACACGTATCCAGTGGCGGATCGCTGAATTACTCTGTTCGCGATAGGCGCCCGAAAGCCCTTACGAGGGAGTCACGGGATAAATTGTATTGTCAAGCAAATTAATATTCGTTCTAATTAAGTATCCAACGAGAAATACGAGACGGACACGCGAGAGCGGCGCTCGCCACTGTGCTTTCTAAATAAAGATTATAATCAGGATCAAATATTATAATCGAGATTATAATCAAGATTATATAATCAAGGTCTTAATCCTGAGAGTAACATCCGCGATCCTGACGCTATAATATCGTCAATAATAATAATAATATCATGAGTCTCTCAAGCCTACATCATGAAAACGATTATGAAAATCGCGGATTTTATATTTTTTTTCAATTACATTTGTTAAGTTTATTATTATTTTTTTTTTTACATTATCTTTGTAGGCTGGTTGCCGCCAGGAAACCAGTTATCTCATCTCATTGGCTGATAATAAGCAGTGGTCACATGGAGACTCAACCGTTTGTTTCCGAGTAATAAAGGAATAGGAACGTTGCATAACGTCTTGCACAAAACGTGAACGAGGGAGAAAGAAAATGCGTGTAGGTCTGACATATTGCTGTCAAGGTTAATCAAAATCGTAATCAAGATCTTCCTAAGCAAAGACCGCGATTAATTAGATACGTGGCTTTGCGAGAACGAAACTTTGCGCGAGAAGGCGGCGAGTCTCTCAATCGCCGTTCCCCGGTAAACACTAACTAGGATTACATTATTAAGTAACATTAATTAATATTGCAATTTCTCAACAATGCAAGCGCAACATAACATACGTTATATATAACAGTTATTGAGTGGGAAATTATAACATTGTCGTGATGTTCCCGGGAAAAAAATGATTATATACGATTATACATAATTATATAAAATCATACATGAATTTTGCCCATATATATGTGGTTACATATGTGATCATATATGTCTGTACGAAAAAAAATGATGCTTTGTCATTTAATTAAATGTCGATATCATGTGCGGTCAGAAGCCAGACGCATTTATTTCGATAGTATTCGCATATAATTTGTAAACAACAGTATTTTTTCGTCGCGGACATGTATGATTGTATATAATCACATATGGGCAAATTTCATTTATGATCTTTTCTTTCCCGGGTTACTGTTGGTGTTTATTGGCTTCATCTTCACGTTGAATTTCCTTCCAAGTAATCGCATAGTTTAATCGTATAGTTTGATATCACGCGACGCGCGGATACTCGGGCCTTCTGAATCCGCCACTGGACGCACCAGACAGGAGCCGGAAGGGCGTTTCGGTCTTAGCGAGACGACTTCGACGCTCTCCGCGCACGCAGTGCATCTCGTTCAACGTGTATTTTCGTGAAATCGTTAGAGGATTAATTATCGTGTAATTATCAGTCGAGCTCTCGATGAGTACCGCGGCACCTGAGGGGAACATCGCGATGCACTGTGCGCGCGCGTCTCTGTCGGCGTACGCGTCGCCGTGAATAAACGTTGTAAATAATCCGAGTGTGGGGCGATCAATGTCATTTCACCGTCCGACGACTTCTCGGTGCAACTTGCGGAATGATATTGGCCGTACCGAGCTTTAGGTCTGAACAGGGATATGCGGAGTGTCCTGTCTCGACGACGAACTGTCGAGCGACTTGGAAGTCTTGGACGTCCGCTCGGTGAGGATTTAACGGGAGACTTGGATGTGTTCGAGAGAAGATTTCCGCGAATCGGGTGTACAAATGAATGATAAAAACTTGCTTTTCAGCAGAACGTTTTTTCGTCTAACTGTCGGAAGTTTCTCATGCCGGATTATTCCTGTAGATCCAGAAGAATAATTCAATCTCGGTTCGGGGAACTTATAACAGTTGTAAGATAAACGTTCTGCTGAACGCGGCCAATTCCTCCGGAGTGTGTATGTGTGTGTGTGTGGGTGTGTACTCCACAGAAACTTAATCTAGAATGATGATATATAAAAAATCCGGTGACGTGTTCGGGTCTGTCAAGTTTCCGTTGAAAGGCACGTGGCACTCGATCTGTTCTTTTAGCTGCGCGCACTTTCGCTCTGGCGCATCCTACATACGAGTATATTAGATTTATTTTCAGATACTGTGAGTGTGTGAAAGGAGAAGAAGGAGCAAACAGATTGTACGAATGTTAACCAGTCGAGGGGCATGGGCGGGAAGAACAGGTCGAATTTTGCGCTAACAATGGCACACTCGGTGTGTTTTCCGTTCCGAAAGCACGAGGAACACGTGTGGTTAGCTTAGTGTGCGAAGAACAAGTTGCTCGTAGACGAGAGTAGCGAGATTCCCGAAAATCGTACGTTCGGCGATGACACGCTAACACCTACCCACCCAATCACACACACAGACAGACACACATATACCTGTAGTCGATATTAGCGGTCGTTAGCCGAACCAGGTGTAAAACTCGAGAGAGGAGAGAACAGAGGTGGCACAAACTCAAAGCAAAGCAGCACAACAACAGAGGAGACACATACCTTTGGTATACACATTGTCAATTAGATTCAGACTGACTGCAGGGATTGAACACGCATAAACAGTTCGATGTTCTTCGATGTTTAGCTAGAATTATAAAGTTGTCGTCGTCGTCGTCGTCGTTAAAATGAGAACAGCACGTCATTGAGACCACGCGAGCCGACGCATCGAAAACTCGGGCCAGTGGCGTAAACGTGAAGTGATTAGCGGCTAGTGGGACCCATTTGACATTACGAGATATTCTAATACACACACACACACACACACACACACACACATATATACACATTATATCAGTCAGTAGAGAATGTATGAGAGTGAAAGTGAGAAAGAGAGGAAAGTCATATTGGAGGTGAGACGAGTGGCGTTGATCTTAGCGGAAATTAGCACATAAGCCACTCCGCTGGTCTCGCTGCGGAAATCACTCGGGAAAGAAAGATTATATATAAAATTATATATATTTATATATAATCATTCTTTCCCGGGCACGTAATCAACACTGTGTATGCTACACAGGAAAAAAGTCAATATTAATTCAAGGTTCATATTCTTATATGTAAGTAAGAATATATAATCTAGATAAAAGAAGATAAAGAAGAAGTAGATTAAAAAAAACTTGCTCTTATATATAAAGAAATATAGTCCCACTAAAAGTATATTCATATTATTCAAGAATAATTTTCATAAATGTAAGGAAGAAATATTTGTTAGAGAGAACGATATCTTCAAACGAAGAATTGCATCAGTTTGAAGATATCGTTCTTTCTCCATTCAATGTTTTTAACCCTTCAATTCGGAAAAATTATTCTTGAATAATAAGAATGATGTTTTTAGTAAAAAGTATTTACAGGCGTATAGAATTTCTTCTCATACAAGAAGGAGCAAGTTTTATCTTCATATAAGATTATATATTTCTGCTTATACGTGATAATATGTGTACATTATTGATGTGCGGTCTGTTCTTTAATGTAGTTACTGTAAACTAATTAACGCAGCTGCTCTTGAACGAAAGGGAGAAAGAGAGAAAGAGAGAAAGAGAGAGAGAGAGGAGATAAAGAGAACAAACGAATTCATATAACGTTCTCGTTGACAAAATTCCCGAGTGTTTTCGACCGGGGGCGGAAACGTTCCGGAAATCTTGCGTTCGCTTCGCGCCGTCGGTGTGAGCGGTTGTCGGTCGAGCGAGGAAGTCGCTGAGAATTGATCGAGACCGATCGTTCGTCCTGTCTTTCCTCTGTCTACCTCAGCGAGACGGCGGAGGATCGGTCGCGCGTCAGCTTCAACCGATGTTTAGGAAAACGGGCCGCCGCCGCCTCCACCATCCCCCCCGTTGCATAAATGTTCGATCGGCCCTTATTAACGGTAGAAACCGAGAGAGGCGTCCATAGAACCGCTCTTATCGAGGAGCCTGTTTGTTTTGAAAAAGAAAAAAATGACGAAAACAAGACGCGAAGCTGCGGAATAATCCATGTGACCGTTCGTGTAGTTCGATTTCTGTGTCGAAGTCTCGAGTTTCGATGACGCAACTATAGACTAATCAACTAGTGCGGCGAAACTCCGTTGCGAAGCGATGCGATGTAAACCGAGAGCAAAAGTTCGTGCAATTCAGCGTGGCGATGTTCCAATATTTGCGCGAGCGTTTCGACGTAAGAGGCAATTTCCAGTACAAGATCGATTACAGCAACCCGACGCGGTGTGTTGCGCGCGTAATTGAGACGCTCTTTATTGTGCGTTACGCACGGGAGAGTGAGAAGCGCTCTCGGTGGGCGATGTTAGGTCCGGTCCAGTGCGAAACTTTATCGAGGGCGTTTGCAAAATACATGTAAGCGATGTGTATCCGCTGGAGAGGAGAACAATTACGCCGATGTATATATATATTTATATATATATGTATGCGTAATCCTATGAAATGTGTCTCGTACATGTAGGCGACAAGCAAGCGCTGGGCACTGTGTTAAGGATAACCAATGTGTAACTGATGAACTAAGAGAGCGTGTGCGAGAAGAGAGGACCGGTCGGGGGACACCCCTTTCCTCCGCCGACCGTGTCAGAATGCGTGTCGGGGAGAGAACCGGGCAACTCTGAGAGAGATGCTATTTATTATAACACGTCGATGAGACGACCGTCGCGAAGGCGGATGTCCGGCCCAAGTCTGTAGCTGTTTGATATGTTTGATTTGAACGCATATTAAGCGCAGAAACAATAGCGAATCTTCCTTTATAACACTGGCGCCGAGAGAGTTCGCACATAACCCAGATTCGGGATAGCTATTTATGATATGAAAATGCAAAAAAGAAACAAATGCAAGGTATGTAACATTATCCCGGCTGTGTCGATTTTTCACCTCCCGCTTCGAAGTCCTCGCCTTACCGTCGACGAAACATTCCGGGAAAAAATATATAATCATATAAAATTATATGTAATTATACATAATTTTATATATATATATATGTATAGCGGAAAATATAGTTAGATTCAATTAAGTATTTACGTCGTGGATATTCATAAACACAGGCATTTACTTCAATTATATTCGTATAACATTTTTTAGAGAGATGTGGGACATATATAATTATATATGATTATATATAGGTATATATAGAGACAAAATTCCTACATAATCATGATTTTTCCCGGGACGATTTTGATTTTGGGTGAAATCTTGGAGAATCGGTACACAACTGTGGAAAAATATTCGAGAGTAATGTTACGGAGCAGATATATTAGTGATTTCAACAGACAAGTAGTGTACAATAGCGATATTATTTTTATATACACATCATTTGTACATAACATAAAGCTGACCGAACTGCTTGAACGATTACACGATAAAATCATCATCAACCAACACGTAAGTCATTTAAAAGTACGTTACGCTCTTGTGTATGGTACCGCAAAAAATACTCAAATGCGGCGCATCCGATTCTTGCATTTCAAGTACAGACAATTCCACGGAAATCCACGATCCCGTTGGATTACTTATTTTATACCAGAGCAACGATAACGATAGCGATGAAGAGTAGAATTATCACCACCCAATAACCAAGCGTACGGTCTTTGGAATGAATATTGCGAACCTGTTGAGTCTTGTTGACCAAAGATTCGTCGGTTCTCTCCATGTGATCAGCCAAATCGTCGATTATTTCTACGTTGCGATGGAAAACAGAAAGCGAGTTTAAACAACATGTCGCTCTTAGAGAAATGCACTTTATATCGATACGAAATTTTCCAGTACTCACCGTTTTGGTGATTCACTTCGTTGCTAATAGTCTGTCCAATTTCCTTCTGACGAGCTATCACCTTGCATAGCTCCTCTAAGCCTTTGTCTTGTTCTGTAAGAAATTGCGAGAAGTTGAGCAATGCGACAATTTTACATCGTATAATTGTTCCGATAATTCTTCAGTTAAGAATCAGCATGGTACCTTTCAATATTTGCTCCTGATGGCTCATAAGATCAGTGACAGTCACATGTACGTCCAATGGTTTTTCGTCATCCTCATCGGCAGCCCAAGAAGTCGTGCCACCGTCGGCGAAAGCCGACGAGCCGGATTTTAACAAGCTGGCACGTGACGATGCGTAATCCTTTGTACGCGGGTCGTACAGTTTCTGTAACTGAATGTCCCTGCTTTGTAACTGTTCTACTTGTCTTGTTCTACGCTCAGCTTCCTCGAAGGTTCTGCCATGCGATCAGCTGTCAAGGAATTTACCTTACGTGAAAAATATCATCCTCCGATAGAATTTCTCAGCTAAATGCTAAAGAATCAAGACGCATATGTGTGTGTATAAAGATAAAAGGATACATTGTCCTCGATTTGGAAGCCTCTTCCACTTTGCTCTTCAATTGTTGAACCTCCCGCGTGTATTGCTTCATACGTAACCTTATATTGGCTGATAGACTGGCGTAAACTTTCGAGGTCTTTGGTTCTGAGTCGCGCATGGTCAGCTGCTCCATAATCTCGCGGAACAGCTTCTCGCATGCATCGTACTCGGTAAGCCTGGTAACAAATGTCATTCAATTAGATTTGTAGATGCAAAAGTTGATATAATAATATATCGTTATCACTCGGCTCTTCTCTCGCAGTGTACACAATGACTCTAGCATGTGAATTTGAATGTGTGTACAAGAATATCTATGAAGGATACGCAGAAATATTTACCAGGGATCAATCCCTTCGATGTTGACCAGTGCCATTTTTGCTCGATAATGTAGATAAACTTGTCACTCTAAAGAATACAATGGCACGACAAATTTATGACAATGTTACATGGCGATCGTTTATCGTGGGAAACATTATCTCGTTGATAATTGATGAGCGTGCAGTCGCATGATTTATTTCCGGAGAGCCGCTGTTTATTCAAGCAGCGATAGAACTTTCTCCTTGTTACGATAATACGACACTCTTTCGACGAAACTTTGGTTAAATAATGACCGAGTAGCAGCGAGCGATACAAGTTGACGAGCTAGCCTGTCAAAATAACATCGGAATCACATATTGTTATAACCCCTCTCACTGCCAGTACATTTACCGCGGCGACATCTAACGTAAGAGAGCAGAAACTGAATGCAAAATTTAGCGTGGCGGCTTCGATTTTGAAAGCAGTGTGCATATTCTTTACTGTTACCGTCTTGATTAACGGGATATTTCTTTCAAAGAATTATATATAATTTTATATGATTTGTTTACATACGATTATATATATAGGTATATTAATTATATGATTATATATGAAACATTTTTCCCGGACAGGTAAATTTATTTACGAATTCTTTACACACTATTTTCCACTTGTATTATTTTCAGTTCCTGATCGACTTTTGAAGGTCACGTTTCATTAATTGAGAAAAATTTTTGCCGCAGACTTGCAGAGTCTCGCCCTCGCTCGTCGATACACGGCGCACGTGTACTCTTTCGGGCGTTCTACTGCCCGGGTGACGATGCGGCATGGTCACTCTCTTGTCGTCCATGAAGCAGTAATTCAGTTTATTCATGATCCGCTCGATGAATGAGCCCCTTGGCGCGCCGTTTCCATCACGACGATGACTTCTTCTTAGGCACCACCGTGTTCCTCGCGATTCCGCTGCCCTTTCCGCGCAAACTGGCACGTTCGACGTCTGCACAGACGATTGTACCGTGAAGCCGAGGGGAACTGGCGAATCAGCAACGGGAATCGGAGGAAAACAACGGAAAAGGAGGACCCGCGAAAGAACGTCCACGGTAAATCAACGTTCTTTTTGAAAAATTAATTCGTACAATCGGCGTCATGCATGCTGTACTATTCCTTAGTAGAATTACACAATTTTGAGCCTTAGTCCGGATCTCTGCAATAGGTGTGGTATGCTTTTCGTTCTGAGCATTAAATTGTCAGTTTCAGCAAGAAGCGTTTTCAAACCCACCAGACATCGATTGTACGATCTAGCACTCACTCGCGTTCGAATTATTCCCGTTCTTAGGCGCAATCGACCTCTCGACGATCGCGCGCGGCGTTTTGTCCGTGTTCTTTACTCCTCCCTTAATCGCTCCTTGCTTGGCAGCTCGGCTCACGGTGTTGCTCCTCGTCAGATACGGCGTCGTCGAGTTCATCGCGGAGGTCGAGGCGTTCGGGATGTTTCTCGAGCGCGATTTCGTCGCGACGACGTCGTTCACGGCCCTCGACGAGTCCCAGAAGGCGCTCGTTTCCCTCACGGACGATCTGGCCTTCGGCAAATATGCGATCGAAGGTCGCCTGTCGCTCGGCGACAGTTTGCCGCTGAGATTCAAGCGCGCGGTCGACTTCTGTACCCGTTCGCTCTTCGAGGACGTCGGATCCAGGCTCGATACTACCGGGAACGTGAAGAGGGACGGGAAGCGGATCGACGTGTCGCTGGTTAAGTCCTGGCCCAGGTACACGCACAGGTAGACAGAAAAATATACACCGCATTCTCACGTACTTCGAGTAAACGTTATACTCGTCTCGAGTATTTCGTAAATTGATACATCCGCAAATGTATCATCGAGTTTATCATAAGCATCGAATTTACTCAAAATATATTCTGAATTCTAGTTTAGCATTTCGCACGATCTTTATAATATTCTTGAAAAGAGAATAAGTTCTTCTCATGAGTACATGCACATGATAAGGGCTTTTTTAATCATTTGTAATGAATATATTTGGACTTTTATTCTAGAGTTTTTAAGCCATTATAGACTATATTATTAATATTCTTTGTCGAAGGTAATTATTATTTAAGAGAAGGAGAAGTAAATTGAACTAATCGCTTTTCTTAGCAACGGAATAATATTTCTCTCTGTGTAGAACCAAAAAGTACGATAATGTCAGGACGGTGAGAGAATCACGATCGAAAAGTGAGTTATCATAATCATTTTCTCATCGATGTCATTACAATTCTCCGTTCTACCTGGGGGTGTCCGATGTCTCTGGACGAGCTGCTGGCGACCTGAGGCACCAAATGCCGAAGCTCCGTCTGCAGCTTCTTGATCTCGTCGAGGCGCGCCAAGATATCGTCGAGGTTGTTGTGGTCCATCTCGAAGAATTTCGGCAATGTCTCGCAATTACATCTTGATTGATAATTTTGTCATTAACGTCGGTCTTCTTGACAGTTTAGCCGGCCGTCGTTTCAACAGAGAGAGAGAGAGAGAGACGAACGATCTTCGATGTGAAGATCATTAGTGTATCGACGTCGGTCGATGCGACGTTATTTACAGACGTGACGTTCATCAGCTGTGAGACAACGATGATGGATGCTGCGAATGGACCGTCTCGCGTGTTCGTGCCGCGCCGTGGAAATTGATATCGGCCGTATCGTCGCCGCCGTGGCTGCGTTAAACGACAAGATTTGCCGGCTACGAGAGGAGATTGACGCGTTCAAGAGCGAAAAGGGTGACGATCTTGTGCGCGACTGCTCGAGGTAATCGAAAATTCGTCGCGATGTAACTCGTGCCACCTCTTTGTTCATTATATTCTCCCGATGCGAGAAATCGGGAAATAGAGATTTCGAAATTTTCCCACCGGAAGCTCGTGGCCACCTCTTTGCTTTCCACCGGGATGGTTTGACGGTTAAAGCGAGAGGGATCCATCCGGCTCGGGATTGATACCGCGCGTGTGAAAAGCTTCTTGATATATTCCAGGCCGGCGGAATTTAATGATTCGACGAAAAACGCGGGGAGACGTACGAACGCGCGCTGCGAGCCGCAAAGAAATTTCAAGGGGGACGACGATTCGCCGGCCGGCACTGATTTATCCGCTCGTTTGTCATTCGCGGAACGTGCGCGGGAAGTAAAAGCGGCGTGCCGCGAGGCGGACGTATTTAAAGAGGGTTACGGCGATAAATCAATCGGAAATGAGGAACGGCCGGATAGCTCGCGAACGTCCATTTCGGACGTGGGAGCGAGCGAGAACGTAAGAGACCACGGGGATGATCGCGCCTCCCACGACAACGGTGAAAAATCGCGGAAACCCGGCCGGTGTCGCGACACACTCGCGAGCGACGTGCCGAAAATCAGGAGAAAGAGGATCTCCAGAGGCGTGCAGTACGACGTGCCCGTCAGACGTGAGAGGAGCGCCGGTAGTTTATTTCTCAGCTGTTTCCGGCCGAGAACGCGAGGAAAGGTGGAGAAGGCTAGAGTCTCAGCGGATGAGAGTAAGGATCTTAGCGGAATTGGCCGAATTATCCGTTCAAAACCATGTTTTACATACCTCAAGTCTTTGTCTTCAATTTTTGCCCGATTAGGGTTAAAGTAGAAAAGAAGCAATCTGTGGTTGATGACGAGCCGTTGTATAATAAAAAAATAAAAAAAATTGAAATTACATTTAGGGCGTATGAGACGTTGACTTAAAATTACAAATCCAATTTTCTGTTCAGGCTCGAGCAAGCGATCTTGCGATTCGACGGAGAAAGGGAGGGGACCGACGGGTGATGCAGATTTGAAGCAAGAAAGGTTTGAAGGCGACGGGGAAAACATAAGGAGCGTCGTTGATGGCGACGGAAAGAGGCGAGAAAATGGCGGGTCGGAAGATCGCCATTCAAGTCGCCTCGGAACGCCGCGTAAAGTATCGGTGACGCGCGACAACGATGCGAAAGCGCTTGGAGAGAGGTCGAATCGAAACAGCGTCGTCATCGGTTCTTCGGATAATCAAGAGCAAATCGTCGAAACCACTTTCGGGGATAAGAGGACGAGTAGCGATCGCGAACGTAACGACGGCTCTCACGGCGAACGAAGCGTAAAATTTTCGGATCATAAAGCGGAGAATGCGCGTCGGGGAAACGCGGATTCTGACCGGCGGGAAACCGCAAATGAGGCGAGGAAGAGATTGGATTTCTGCATCGCCGAGCTGAACGGTATAATCCGCGATGCCTGTGTGATATTCGGAAAAAGCCCGGTAAGCGAGAAGTTCTTAGCACGCCGTTTGTAATATTTTGTCAAACGTTACGTTTCTAAATTTGCACTTCTTAATGTTGTATAATACAACGTCGTTGTTAACAATACCTGACCGATACGTTAAAAATAATATTTCTACACTACGACTTTAATATTTCAGACTATTTATTTATTATATTATTATAAACGGTAATCGTTATATTATCGAATATATAACAGTTTAGAAACATTTATGAAATACTTATAAAATACACATAGAATCAATGTTTCGAGAGAGATGGATTTTACAAACATTGACGCGACATTTTATGCATGTTTCTAAACTGTTATTTAATCATATAATAGTCTTAAATGTTAAAATCAAATAATAGATATATAATAGAAATGTGATATTTTTAATATTTATATAATGATTCGTGTTTGTAAAATCAATGTTTTAAACTGATAACTGATTGAGAAGTACATGTAATCTCTAATCGTTTATGATCGCCTCCGCTGCGGCGCGGCGCGTAGAGGGTAAACAAATGATCGTTGTTATTATTTACGTTATTGCGAGTCACCAACATTTTTCTTCACTCATTTATTCGAAATTTAATAAGGAATCGAAATATCTAAACATTATTGTCAAAATTGATTCTACGTTTCTTGCTTACTGGGAGTGTGAGGTGAACCGCTGAGAGTGTAGTGCAGTGCAGCACCGAAATTAGGGGCGACGTAAGCAGAAGTGAGTGAGCGAGAGTCGGTGAATATGCACGTTCTGTTTCGAGAGAGTTACGGCAACGAGAAGGAGACGGTTTACATCAAGTCGGAAGGTAAGGGAGGATCGACGTTCGTTGCTTCCACATACGTTACTCGCACGTAAACTTTCATGACACCTGTTGGCCAGATGGTTCCAGGGTGAAGAAGGTGAAACCCGAAGCGACCGAGTCGCGTTCTCGCTTCGTGTCCCTTTTGAAGGAGATATTCCTCCCACAAGGATACCCGGACAGCGTGCATCCCGATTACACTGCATATCAGATATGGGACACAGTACAGGTTAGTTGAAATCGCCACCGGGTGTGTATTTGACGCGTGTCTGGTGCTTCGCAAAGAAGTCCAACATTTTCTGTAAGTATTCTTGTTAAGGTAAAAGTACCAATACTTGGGTATTCACCTTGGCGTTAAACCTGGCCGTTCTTATTGTTTTGGTTTTAACTACGAACATCCAAATATTTGACTATAACTATACATACATACGTTGGAAGCTGAAATATTTATGTTTAAAGACCAAAATAATGAGAACGTCAGGTTTAGGTACCCCATATGGCTTGTAAACTACTTAATCAGTCTATAAACTTCTCTTTCCCTTACCAGTCCAGTGAAGAGTCAGATAGCCAAGCCTGCGGGAGCAGATTTTGCGCAGTATCTGCCGTAAATTCGTTCAGCAGCTTGTCAGCAGAAATCTGCTGCCAATCTGTACCGCTAACATTTTGCTCATTGAAAAGAGACCATACTTTTTAGACGAGGGATCGTTATGACTAACATTAGATTGATATTTCGCAGGCTTTTGCGAGCACCATAATGGGCACACTCACAACCCACTCTATAATGCAAGGAATAGGAGTCGGGGAGTCCAGTGCTACACCTTTGGCAGCAGCGATAACGTGGATTCTGAAAAGCGGCACCGGCATGATCGGGAGCATAACGTTCGCATGGTGGAACGGGTAAAGCATAGGCGACATGTATATTTCATCTGAGAGTATCTGATGCATCTCTCTCACTCGTGACTCGATATCAAGATTCCGTCTTCACGTTTCAGAACTCAACTGGACGGGCAGTGCAAGAAATGGAGACTGTTTGCGGATATCCTGAATGACGTGGCGATGGGGGTGGAGCTAATCGTTCCGTATTTTTCGTCGTACTCCTTACCGATTCTGTGCACATCGACCATCATGAAGTCCATCGTCGGTGTCGCCGGTGGGGCTACAAGGGCAGCATTGACTCAACACCAGGTGTGTGATTATTGATACGAGCATCCCGTATCGTAATTCGACATTGATTGCTTTTTTTCCTCTCCTGGCAGGCAATACGCAATAACATGGCAGACGTTTCGGCGAAGGACGGCAGCCAAGAGACGTGTGTGAATCTGATCGCCTCGTTCCTCGGAATCTTTGTGCTGTCTTTGTTCCACGACGGGCGGTATGTATCCGTTATCTCTCCCTTTCTTCACCACCTTCCCGTTACGTTGCGAATGTTATCAATAATGATGGAGTATACCGCACATATAGATACTTAATAGAATTATATGTCTTCCTGGTGGCAGTCCATCTCTATGCAAATTATTCGGCGGTCAAAGCGCTATGTTTAGATACGCTGAATGAAGACCGTCTGGCTTTGATAATAAAACACTACATGATGAACGAGCGAATCCCCGAACCGTGGAGGATCAACAAGGAGGAATCGGTGTTTCTACTTGGAAGTCCTTGTAAGATTATCCCATAACCGTTACTTCCTTCTTCGCGCTTCTCGCAAGACACTCTCGCGAACTCTCGTTAATTTCAGCCAGACAGATGTGCGGCTTCGACATAAAAATTGGCGCCTCGTTCGCGAGTGTCCTTGAAAGAAACGTGATCTCCCCCATGGAGGTGGAGTTCTTGTTGAAGTTCTTCGAAGACAGAAATTACTTGGTGGCGATAGACATAGAGACCAGGACTGTATTTGTCGTCCTGAAGAAGGATGCGAATCCTGTCCAAGTGCTGGAGGGATACTTTTACGCTTCCATGTGTGCCCTTTACATCTGTATGGCGAATAAAATATCGCTCGTGAGTAAGAAACGCCCCTCCCCCGCGTAATTCGTTATAATTACTCCGATATCGCGCAGGACTTGCTGCTGTATTCGGAAACGGCCGAGCTATCGTACCCATTGTTGAACACGTACGTCCTCCACAAGAAGTTTGCGAATGCGAGCAACGGTATACAACTGTCGCTGGCTATTCAAAGCGTCTGCGCCACGGATCTGATCGTTTCTAACGAGTACAAAGCGTTCGTTAACAGCCTGCAGACGAACGGTACGGCGAATTGTATCGCATCGATGTTTCAACGGGTATTCAGACACGACTGTGCAACCATTAATGTGATTCCAGGATGGATAACCGAAACAAATTTACTGGCGGTCGGCGCATGGAGATTTCGAACCGGCGAACAACGGAAATAACTGAAAGCGACTGTTTCGTATTAAAATAATGTCCCTCTGTTCCGCGAGGCTGTGATCGGGAGATGATCATAATAATGTAACAGGCAGGAGAAATAAATCTTCCACGCTCGATATACGGAGAAGTGATTTTATTTCCAACATTTATAAAAATATAGCATGCTTTGTATACTGTACAAAAAATGATATATAGGTGAGACTCGAACTAAGACTCTTGCTCCGGTTTAGGGCCGGTCTGTGACAAATGTTTCACTATATCCACCCAGTTCCATCCACGCGGTCTCTCACCCTTACCGTCCGCCTTGTTCCACTGCCTACGTTTCTGTGCCTTGCTCAATTGTTCCTTCTTCGGCTTCTTCGCCGTTTCTTCAACCTTAGAGACAGCATCGTGTCTTGTTCGTAATTATATCGGACGAAGCAAAAGGAAATATGTACGATGACATACCTGCTGACTCTCATCGGCGATCTTGAGTTTACCGGTATAGGAGTTAATATCGGTGACTGAGTCTGGCTGAACGGATATTAAGTCTGCGTAATGTTCTTGGACAGACTGAAATAAGGTATACGTCATGGCGCTACCTAACCACTGCTCAGCCTCTGCCTCTACGAGACTCACCACCTTGTCCTTTACCTCTTGCACACTGTGCATTCCAATTATTTCACCTTTAATCAAAGTAATCGAATTCAAGAATAGTCGGGCCGCTGCTTGGCTGCACTTACATGTGTTTATTATAAAATGTGTCCATATTGATGGCCGGCTTCTCCGTTGGATATGTCGCGCTCCATGAGATCTCCAGGAGAAATGACTTCAGATCGTTATCCTGTCCGTACTGCGTGAGAAAAATCATTGTGTCACGTTGCATAAATATTACGTCATGCAGGATTCGCGGACGAATCCACGAAGGACGCGACGCTAACTCGGAAGCTGGATGTATTCTTTCACACGAATGTGCGCGCGGCGATTAAATTATGTACCTTTCGTGACTGAAATTAACAGGTGTGTGCCATTAATTTCACCGCAAGTTTCGCGTCTTCTGCCGCTGAATAAAGTACGTGCGTATGTAATTTAAGGGCAGAGGGTTGGAGAGAAACTATAAGATGGTGAGGGGAAGGAAGGATAAAGAGAATCTTGGGTACATTGCGATGAGTGGGCAATAGTTTCGAAATAATCGTGAATCACAGACAAGACGAAGTCATGATTAATATTGCACGGAGGTTCCTAATCAAGATCAAATTATTGGAGTAAAGCCAACGTAAAAGCGATTCTCGCACCTTGTACTGAAATGTCGTAGGTGTCAACTGCTTAAAAGCCGGATCGCCATCGTATATCGAGGACAGTACTTCCCTTTCCTCTTCCTGGAGCTCGGCATCGCTCATCTCCTCTCCTTAGACTAGATTTTAAATCGCACTACGCTGCCCAGTATTATCGCTCTCGATCACATGTGAATTTCAGGTTAGAAAATTAATACGGGCGCTCCCAAGTTCTTCGTTGAAGATAGTGGCGGCTCGTAGCGGAGACTTCGGAATTAAAACAACGTCACGAAACCTTCGTCAATCGACAGTTATCGGTCGGTAAGTCGAGACTCAAACCCTTCCAGCGAGCGAGTACTCATTTGACACCGTTAGATGGCGCTACGCGGTCCGTTGCTGCCAAGTATTGTTTTTTTTTCTAGGTCGGATAGGCTTAGACCATGTGCATTTTTGTACGCCATTTACTTTCAATAAAAAAAAAAAAAATTTTTTTCATTGCATGTGATAGGCCTGATGCCTTGTATTTAATGATATAATATTAGCAATAATATAACTTTATTGTGCGCTATTTCATATATTTAATTTTATATATTAAAAAAATATAAAAATACTTAATTTTATATATCGAAGAAAAGTTCATTTTTAATATTCCGCATTATTAATATTTCAAACTCTAAGGTGAATCGTGGATAAAATACTCGAAGGTGAGCCGAATATTTTTCAATGCAGTTTTACACATATTATATTTAATTACTTGGGAAACGGTAGGCGCCCCAGGTAGAACAGAAAGTTACGGTAATATCAAAACGTCACATTGGCGTCAAAAGAACGTCAAAATGACGAGAAAATGATTATAAAAGCTCATTTTTCGATTATTTTCTCATCATTTTGACATCATTGTCATTTTCTGTTCTATTTAGGGCATTACCGTTTTCGGAAATTATGTCGCGTAACTTTTCTACCATACACAAAATATCCGACAACGTAACGATAATGTTAAATGTTACAGAACAGATCTACTGGACAACCAAAGCACCCGACGGTCTAAGTACACACCCAACATCCACCCTCAAGTAGTGACTTTTAGCACCCTTGGTCCAATAAAAAGGTAGGCTCCACCTTTCCTAATCAAAGGTAACATTCAGTCTTTATTATTAGTTACGAATATGAAAGGATATGAGTATTTATAAACGTAGAAGATATTAAAAAGCAAAATTGAAATTAATCATTTTAATTGTAAATATTCTGTACTTTTGCCTGGAAAATTCTCTAAGCATCAGAATTCTTGTGTGTGTGTGTGTGTGTGCGTCGTCTACATTTTGCAAAGAAGATCGTATTAAATTGTATTGCGTATGTTCCAGGAGATTAAATCACGCGAGATAAAAACGTTGGAGAAGAAGGAAGAGGAGGGTCGACCAAGTCGTTCCTTGGTGTTATCATTAAAACGCACGCGGCCGCGCCACCGACGTCCAGCCGACGCGGTGCGGACGAACGTTTGGCCATACGCCACCGCGCATTATAAGGTGAGTCGGCGAAATGAAGCGAAAAGCGGATAGTGACGATAGGAAGCGACGAACGAGAGGAGGCGGCGGAAAAGCACATAATGCCGTGGATTAATGCGAGTTTCCGTACGGCGAACTTGTCTCGCGTCCCGTTCGTGTTCCCCTCCCCGTCCCCCCATTGCGCGTATCGAGGACGGCGGGTATCGGGTGCGGCTAATCGAGTCCTCTGTTCGTGCATTCGACTTTCTTACCTTCGCTTATCTAACGTCTTCGGAGAAGCGACGGAAATTACCTTCCGTACTGGAGTGAGGCGCTTTAGCTCGACCCTCCCTCTTTCGACGCGGGATATTTATAATTGCCGTAAAAAGATTATATTTTCATACAGGGTGTCCGATCATTTTCGGCACAACGCTTGTGTATGCAGATAGATTAAATATATGTATGTATGATTGTGAAATATTTATGTAAAATATAATATACAACATAATACAATGTAGTATATACGTTGTATATATAACGTATTTAATATATACGTTATGTATATAACGAATAGTTTATGTAAATATAAATAAATCGATAAATTGTATTATATTGTATGTTATAGAATATATTTTACTATCTTATATATGATTATATATTAAAATATGTGTGTATATATTATAATAAATAAAATTATATATTACATCATATTATAGTGTATTATATTTTTTGTATTATACAATGTCATAATGTATTATATTGTAAAACTTAGATAAAAAATAAAAACAATTGAATATGAGCTCTATTTTTCTCTACTACTGTACTACTTTTCCATTCCTTACTTCCTTCTAATTAAAAGTGCGAAAGTTGGAAAACCGAGATTTTGCAACCTCTTTGCTCATTATATTCTCCTGATACTAAAATACGAAAATCGGATAATCGCGCAGCTTTTCAAATTCTCCACCGGAAATTCGTGCTTCTTATACCAAAATGCGATAGTCAGGAAATTTTGAAAAAGATGTTCTTCAATTTGGTGAATGTGTATCAGGACAATATAATGAGCAAGGAAGTAGTATAAATTTCCGGTAGAAAATTAAAAAATTTTTTGGCGTTTTTTTCGGAACGGGTACAAATAAAAATTAACTACTAAGATAACTATTTTTATTCTTATTTTTATTGTGACATAGTACAAACAATACAGTATATTATAATATATAATATAATTTAATTTATACAATATAATGTAATATATAATAATAATAATTTAATATAATACAGGTACTTATAATACAGAAATACTGTGTCTCACGAAAGATCGAGTGTATTTTTCGCACGAAGCGAAAATGGTACATAACTTTTCTGCTCACTTTGGTTCGACTATCTGCACACGAGTGCGACGTCAAAAATTATCGAGCGTCCTATATCTATAAATAATTATTTCATATTATTCTTATATACCGATTCAGATGTGTATATGTCTACACATATTTACCATAAATGAATTAGCGACCTCCATCGTTAGAATTCCGCAAGAGTTCGTCCTAGTTTCGTCTAGAAATTCTAAGGAGGAAATCCAGGGGAAGGACACGTGTGATTAGAATTTATCGCTTATTTTATTTCGCCAAATGCGTAGCACTCTTACTATACGCCTTACGCTGCAGAAATCGTTACGCTTAACAAAAGTAACTTAACAGACCAATTTCACACGCCCATTAACTTTTATACACATTCGTTTACTTTATTCGTAGCGTTTGTTAAATGACCGTGAGATTCACCGAGAAGTGACTTTTCTACCGCTTCAATTAAAGTCTACGGCATCAATTATCAGTGAATCACCGGTAATAATGCCGGCAAATTGCTGCGGAATGCAGCGGTTCGCAAAGGGTTACATTTTGTATTCGGAGCGGGCCGATAATTAAAATCGTTTCACCCAACCATGATCCGAACGCTAAATAGCCATTTGCCAGATTTGCTAAAATAGTATTTGTTCGGCGCCGTAATTACGACGGTAACGTCGAAATTTTCGTTTCGGCAAGCGATGCGTAACCACGCGCATCGCGTTTACGGCGAGAACGAGATATAGAATAACGAGAACGAGTCAAGTCGCGTTTACTGTCCCAACGAAACACGACGGGATTTACAGACGGGTTCTTCACCGAATTAGCGTTCGACGTGTCGACGATACGTTCGTAACGCTATTCGATTGCCGGTTCGATTCGCCGCTAATGCGCGAGTGAATCGAGGTTTGATCGGCGTCCGATTATTTCGTAATTTTTCACGGCGCTTCTTGCAACGCCATTTGATTATTTGCGACATACTTGCCGTGCCAGCCGCCCAGCTCGTTCTCGCATTATAGCGGTAACCGTAAATACAACTCGTTATTATTGTATCATCGGAACGTTAATTCAATTTACATAATACGTTACTAAAGTATTTTAATGCGTGCAACAAGCTCAAAAGCCGCTTGTCACGTGTTCTAGTTCCACAAAGAGCAAACGCGGCGGCTCTAATGAAATGTGCGAGTAATTACGAGGTAATTAATAATTATGCCGGCTGGCTGTCAATATTTATGAACACACACGCGCATTTCAGAAGTTTATTATATCCACCGTAGCCCCCCCCCCCCCCCC